TAACCGATTTCATGGGATTTTTCGCAAGGAATCCAAATCTACCACTTATTTTAACTTTCTTCCATTAAAACTCAAGAAGCCATGGACATCAAGAATCATCAAGAAATTTCAACTCTCACGAAAACTTAAAACGAAGCTACTAATCTCTTCCTCTCACTTCCTACATCAATAATATCATGTTCTTTCGCATTCTTAACCACTATCTAGAGAGATAAGCGAACAACAAGTAATGGCGCCATGTCGAAAATTGTCATAAAACCTCACCAAATCCATTCTAAATCCATCTAAGGTTCAATACTAACTTAACCGCATGTTCAAACTAACTTAATTATGCTTAAACTAAAAGGAAAATTGAGAAACAAGAACCTGATCGAAAGCTTCGAATTTGATGTTCTTGAGGGTGAATTCTTCCTCCAAAAGATGCAGATTCCTTCAATGGATAATGCTTGATCAATCTCAATACTCAATTGCTCCTGAAATCGCTCCAAATCCCAAATTCGAATTTCACTTCTTCAAGCTCTTTCTCAAATGACTCTAATTGATTCTCAACCAAAAATGGCACTAGAAGCTTCTGAAAATGATCCACAATTAATTTATAATCTGTTTGAAACCTTTGGAGGCCCAATTCATAATTTCCAACTTTCAATTTTTTCTCAAAAATCCAATTATGGTATGCACGAATTGGCTCTGTTCTTGCTCTCAATCCACTTCAGTTCACTTACTTGAGAGTTATGGAGTGTAAATGAATTGGTTTACAACCTTGATTTTACTCTGAGGTGTGTGTTTGATTTGTTACTTTCATGAAGTAAACCACCAAAATGCCATGAAAGGAGTCTCAACTCAAAATTCTAACAATTCCAAAGAGTTTAGAATTTCTTTTCCAATCAAAATGAGTACTAACTTGGCTTGAAAACATCCAAATTACAATTGTTTTGAATTTTTTCATTTTAATTCATTAAAATGGCTTTTTTATGAAATTTCTTCAACCAATGCTTGCTCTAATCCATATAAATGGTTGCTTGGGTCATGGTTGGACTAAAAGTATAATTTTGAGCAACTTTGGTGTTGAACAAAACTCCATTTGAAGCTTGCAAGATAGTGAAATGGACCCATGATTCAAAATGACCTATAATTCCAAATATCCAAAATACCCCTGACTTGTAAATCCCATAACTTGAGTTCTACAAATTATATGGAAGACTTCTAGTATAATTTGGAAAGATAAGATCAAGAACTACAAATTTCATGTTGGCCAAAATTTGAGGAGAAACATCCTTCTAGGTTAAAGTTTCTTGGAAGTTGGTTGACTTTCACAGACAAATTTCACATTCATCTGATGACCTGTAACTTGTCTGGATCATAACTTGAGTTCTATAAATCCAATGGTGGACTTCTAGTACTCAAATTAAAGCTAAGAGCATGATCTACAAGTTTCATGTTGGCCAAAAGTTGAGATGAAACTTTTATCTTGAGGTAAGTGGTCTTGAAGTCATGCACTAAATAGGGGATTTTACCCTGAGAACCCTAGTTTAACAACTCCTTTCACTTTGAATTCTTCTTGGATTGGTCTTGGAATATCACCTCATGCACCCCAACACAACTTTCCATGATCACAAAGACTTAGAAATAGGTTTTGATCCTCTTCAATTGTACAATTGACTTAGAGTTACTCAGATGAAAACCCTAACTGCAACACCTTCAACTGTGGCTCTTCACACTTGACATAATGATTTGACTGAGCTCCACCATGACCCTCAAGGCACTCTATGAGCTCTATCCCCACACTCTATCCATAATCAAGGCTTCACAACCCACTGATGGTCTTCAATTGGTCCTCTGGTTAGAGATTAACCATATACAAACAACCACACTCCTCAAGAACACAACCCTCTTCCTGATGACCTTGGTGACCTCTCAAGCTTGCACAAGACCTCTAGATAGGCTCCTCTTGATATAAATCACACTTGATCCCCTGCTAAATGAACAATGCTATGCTATGCAAATGCTAGATCAATGATATGCTAATGCAATGAAACAAAAGCCAAGCAAGAAAAGGTTAGGCAAATTTTGGGGTGCAACACCTTCTCCAAATGTTCATATTCAACTCAAATTGTTTGCAAACATAGTTGGAACATATCAATATACCAACATTTAAGGCAAAGAAAATAAGAATGTAGAGAAGGTAGAGAATTCTTCCAAGGAGGATAAAGCCTCAGTAAATATGCTTGGAGTAAAAATGAAAGATCTTCTGATTGAAGGGATGGTCGATAGTAAGGTCAAAAGTCATTCCCCCATTGAACAATAAAAAGGAGGCTAGGAAAAAGAAACTCAAGAATATCAGTGATCATACCTAACTTCAACTTTCAAAACATTAAATAAACCTACTATAACCTTTTCTCAACCTAACCAACTTCAAACATATACCCAACTTCTCAACCTAACTTCAACTTTCAAATTTTCAAATAAACCTACTATAACCTCTCATTCTCTTAACATCCAACAACAATCACATCTCCATAAACCTACAACCACTACCACGCCTTAATTGAAACACAAAATCCATAAATTAACTCACCACCAACACAACCAATTCAAGTCAGAGTACAATTCGATGACACATAGTCTATGACAAATTTGGATTGCATGTCATTTGATTTTACATACTAGTTAATTCTTCATAATCACCACAAGCTGTAGCAAGATTCAACCACTCCTTTATCCCCTACCATTGTCAAATACAAAGATAAATCATTATTAGGCTGTGACCATCGTCAAATAATAAATCATCGACGTAAAACCAAAAGTCACCCTTCAACGACAACATTTTTTAAATCATAAATTACAATATTAGGATTATATTGATATGACTTTTTTTGTTATTATTATGTTTTTTAAAATATTAAGTAAGATATTTAATATTTAGGCTTAATTATAATTTTATTCTCTCTATTTTACATTTATTTAAAACTAACAGTTTTGATCATCTCATTATTTAGCGCTAAAAAACATCGCGATGTCCATTTTTTAACTTATATATATTTTTTATCTATAAAATTTTACAAAAGATTCATATATAATGATTTGTCTTGTTTCATAAGTGACATATCATTTAAACACGAAAACATTGTTTATTACAAGTGTAAAAATGTGAGAGATCAAAATTGTTTAAAATTAAATAAGAAATTTATTAATTTCGTAAATTAAAATAAAATAAGAATAAGATTGATTAACCTTAATTATTATTTATTACGTAAATGAGATATCAATTTTATTGTATAGTATTTTATTTAAATTATCTAATTATGTAAGATTTTAAAGATATTCAATTTGTATTATTAAAAACTGTAAATTTATCATTTTTGTGATTTTTTGTATTTATTAATTATTTTTTCATTAAATAAACAATTAAAAATATGTTATATATAAAAGAAATAAAAACCTGATGGCATGGTACACTAACATTTTAAACTTCTAAGAGCAACTTTAACGCAGATTTGTTAAACCAAAATTCCTTATAGCTTAAGTTAGTAATAAGGAATTTGCATTATAGTAGAGCTGACGTGACATCCAAATGAACTAAAATTTAGTTCACATTCTCTATATAGTTAACGTTAACTATTGATGTTAAACCTATTATAATATTATTTAATATTAATAAAATATTCCAAATATTCCAACAGCATTAAAGTAACGGTATGATATTTCAAAATAGTAACGGTCATATTACCATTTTTTTATCTTCTATAAATTCTATAGAAACTTTAATTTTTTTTACACACAGTTTTACTTCTAAATTTTTTTCTTTCAATTTCCAATCTTATTTATTTATCAAATTTCAAATCTTATATTTTTTTTGTTAAAATATAATTCGTTGCTTATTGTCATGTATTATTTTATATTCCTATGAAAATGTAATTTCTTTTATATATTATTGTTGTGAATTTTGTATAATTTTTAATTTTTATAATAAAATATATTTAATATTATTTTTAAGTTTTTAAGGTAAATTTTATTTAAAAAATTGTATGCATTTTAATTAAAATAATTAAATTAATGATAACTTAAATAAAAAATATAAAATGTGGGGTCAAGTTTTGGTTTCTTATAGACAATCACCATTAAAGTAAAAACTACTCAAATCAACTATAAAATTTTTAAATCCTACAAATCACTTTGGTCCCACAAAAAGTATCTTAGTTTACCCATTTAGTTTACTCCCAGTAAAGATGTTCTTATGTTCTAAAGTAAAGTAATTAAAAAAATAATTTAGAATATATCATATTAAAAGTTTATTTTGAAAAAAAAATTATTTGTTTAAAAATCTCCCACAAAAGCTTTCGCCTATTAACCCAATCCAATTCATTAAGCTTTTAAACTTTACAAACTTCATTTAAAAAACACACTAAACAAACAAATTGATTTGTTATTTTCTTTTGCTTTTGATTTCATTTTCTTTGTAACCGAAACATTAATTTGCTTCCACTCTGTAATAAAAACGGGTCGCGAAAAGCCAAAAAAGATTGATAAAATGACAATTTCTTCCATCAAATCACATCTACTATCAAATAATCCAAATTCTTAACGCATGCCACTCACCTTTCATTTCTCTCTCAAAACAGCAAAATTGAAAAGAAGAGAAAATAACAGAAAAAAGCAAAAGCGAAAGAAACATCAATATTTTTTATTTTCTTATAAAAGAAGAAAACATTCACACTAGTCACACCTAAATAAAATAATTAAATCTTCCTACTCCATGATTTACTAAATTTTAATATATTATATTATATATTATATTATTATATACTTTCACAGCACCTGTTGACAAAAAAAAAGTGTAACCGCCCTCTTCATACTTCTTCTCTTTTGCGTTTTCAACACACACATTTCGTTGGAATTTCCGGTGACTCGTTTTCCCTTTTCCTCCGATGAACGGCGGCGATAACCGTTACCGGAGGTAAAACTGAAAAGAGCTAATTCCTATTTTGTCCTTCTCAGCTGGCATGTCTGACGACAACGACGTTACGCTACAGACTTTCCGAGCTCTGGTAGAGAACGCGGACCACAAGTTCGCTAGGGTTCGCGACGCACCGGCTTACGGTCGTGTGAACCAGAACCACTTCTTCCACAAGGTTTTCAAGGCTTACACGCGCTTATGGAAGTACCAGCAAGAAAATCGCGCGAAGCTTGTTCAGTGCGGTCTTAAACGATGGGAAATTGGCGAGATCGCGAGTCGGATTGGTCAGCTCTACTTCGGTCAGTACATGAGAGCTAGCGAAACGAGGTTTCTCGTTGAGGCTTACGTCTTCTATGAGGCTATACTTAGCAGAAGGTATTTTGAAGGATCCGAAGGTTCGTCGAAAGATCTAGGAGTTCGGTCCAAGGAGTTGAGGTTCTATGCAAGGTTTTTGCTGGTTTCGTTGATTCTGAACCGGACTGAGATGGTCAAATATCTCATGGACCGGTTCGTGGCTTTGGTTGATGATTGCAAGAGTACTTTTCGGGTAATAAGTTGTTTTCATTCTCAATTTAGCTTAAATTTGAGCTTAATCTTTGATTCGTTGGAAGTGTTGACGAGTTTTGAATGTTTAGTTAATTGCTAAATTTAGTTTTAGCTGCAAAAAGAAAGTGAAGTAGTCATAATCGATTTCCTTTTTTTACTCGTTTTTGTTGACAAAGTTCTTAGATGGAAGTAGACATACGAATGTATGGAATAAATGGTGTTTCCTTTCTTGTGTTAATCTATAGAAGTATTCTAACTTGGAAATTAATGATGAAGCTGCTCCGTTTAAATTAATTAGTTGGCTTCTGTGAAAAATTGGAATTAGAATAGTTTTAGGTTTATATAATTGAGGAAAGAAACAATAATTTGCTGTATGTAGTGGATAGGTCTTGGTAGTTATTGTATCAGATAGAACACATGGTGGTTTGTTCCATTCCATATCATGTGAAGTTATGTTTGTTTCGTTGATTAGTTTTGGTGATACTGCATGAGATCTCTGTACTAATAAGTGGAATTCGTAATAATAACTAATCTCATTGGAGAAAATAGACATGGGATGGGATAGCAGGATTTACCAATTTAGGGCTTTAAAACAAACGGATTGAAAAGTATGCTTATGTTATAGGTTAGATAGGTTAGATTGGATGACCCACTTCAGTCGTTTTAGCCTTACTCCTTAGTTTCTTTTTTTTGGTACGCCTGACTATTGTCTGAACTATGAAGGATATCAATCATGGTTATCAAACTGTGCCGCGGCGGCAAAGGATGAATGTTGCGTGAGATCGTTTGATCTCCCAATCTGTTGCACACACCTAACAACCATGATATAAATGCTGTTGTAAAGTAGATTGTACCAGGGTTATTAGAGATACTTCATTTTGACTCCCGTTGTAAAACCAAATCAAAATCAATGCTCCGAGTCACCTGAGTTTCAAGTAGTACTCCACTATGTTATATTGACCGGGTGGACCAGTTTTCCAGAATAACGGTGTTGGTGCAATACTGATTTTCTTTTAAAAAACCTATTTAATATATATTGTATTCTGATCATCAATTTCTTGACATTCAAATGTGAGGTTATTGTTGCCAATTTGAAAGTTAAGCTACCACTTCTCAATCTGTGTGTGCTGTATACTTCTGTTTTTCTACTCGAATTTTTCATTATTAGTGAAGAAGTTTTAGTGTTTTGTACAATGGTATTAAAGATCTTATGAAACTTGAGTTACTTGACTGTAGTATGGTTCATTGATGCTTTGTATTTCTCTATTTATCATGGGAAGGACATATCTTTGTATTGCTTGTTTGACTTAATGAATATAAACTGTTTGTTTTCAGGATACTAACTTCAAAGAATGGAAGCAAGTGGTGCAAGAAATTGTCCGCTTCACAAAAGCGGACAAGGGCTTTAGCTTCAGGCCTATGCGCTATTGTGCTATATTTGACTCTCATCAAGCTTCTCTTCCTTATGTGGCTCGCTTCCATGCAAAAAGGGTTTTAAAATTTCATGACGCACTCTTGGCAAGCTATCATCGAAATGAGGTCAATTCTTGCCATGGTGGTTCTTAAATTTGTATTAATAAATAACTTTAGTAACTGAAAGGTACTGAATCTTTTGAATCTTTATATGCCTTCCATTTCAGGTCAAATTTGCCGAGCTTACATTGGACGTCTATAGAATGATACAATGTTTAGAATGGGAGCCTAGTGGATCATTCTACCAAAAGCGTATAGTTAGACCTAAGGAGAATGGTGATGTGATTGATCATTCAGGAGCTTCTGGGATAATAGACATGAACCTTGCCGCAGATATGACAGATCCAAACACACCTTCTAATCCTACAAAGGCTACCTTGTATCGTCCATCTGTGACACACGTGATAGCAGTGAGTTTTTATGCCTAGTAAAAGTTAGTATGTCTAGTAAGTTTGATCTTAACTTCGCTGAAATTTATAAGTGGTATTGATGGAGATTTTTATGGCTTTTCCTTTGACAAGATTTGTACATCCAAATCTGGTTTGGGTGTGCTTCGTTGGTTCTACTCTATATTATAATACGTTTGCATGTTTATTTGTCCATACTTGCATAATGGTTTTCGGTAATGTTTTTTGGTTTCACTCATGTTCGATTTGATTTATGAACTGTTGCCAACATTTTCACATGTTAAATCTGACTGCTTATGCTTATATTCTTTGGTTCACAATCTTCCAATCACTGTTGGGGTTTGTTATTTCATACGTTGAGCTTCATGTTGTACGCAGGTTATGGCCACAATTTGTGAGGAGCTTCCTTCAGACAGTGTTGTGCTAGTATATCTTTCAGCCCCAGGTTTACATTTGATCCGATTTTCAACTTTAAATAATTGGTCTACAGATCATGCTGTTTTATGTTTGGTTAGTTGCCATAATGATCTGTGATCATTCATACAGGTAAGGCTGGTGTTCATAATGGTGGGCCGTCCAAATATTCAAGACACAAAGTCCTTTCTCAGTCTTCCGATGAACTAAACTCTGGAATATCAGAATCTCAAAATAATGGCAAGAGTGAATCAAGTGGTCATCATGAGAATTATCTGTGGTTTGGTCCCAAGGGAAATAGTGGTGGGTACCTGTACTTAAAGTTTTTTCCCTGTCACACTTTTGTTATGATTGTTCCAGGAAAAGTTATGCAAATTAATTGGTTTTTCTTTCCATTTTTTGGGTTAGTATCAATTGTATGCTATAAAAGAAACAAGTACCTCTGTTGTGTCTGCACTTACATATGCTGTTTGTGAATTATCAGGTTCAAATAACCTTTACCCTGGCGATCTTATTCCCTTCACCCGGAAACCTCTTTTCTTGATTATTGATAGTGATAACAGCCATGCATTCAAGGCAGGTTTGTCCAAACTTTTGTATGACGGAGCTTTTCTGTATATTCCTTAAATCTAATTTTATATATTAATGGCATGATGAAGTTAATAATTAATTTGTTTCTGCATCATCTGTGGGTATATTAATATCACAACATTTCATGATGAGTTTCAATACATTAGCCACAAGAATCACGCCTTGTTGATTTTCTTCATTAATTTGAGCTGGAATGTAGAACTTTCTTTGGGGACAAAGTTGAAGTGGTGTAAAGAAAAGCTATGAAATTATTAAATGGCACTGTTAACATTCCCTGTGTAGCTACAAAAAAGAATGAAAAACACATCATCTTTTGCGGTTAAGGATGATTCTGTACTAGTTTTTAGGGGGAGGCAGTCAGTATAGAAGATTTGATTTCTGGCTTGTGTTATTTACCTGTTTTGACCTATGTTATTTACATCGACATGTCTTGATTAAATGTCTGTAATAAATGATTGTAGGAATTACATGGTGCTGAAAGGGGAGAGATGGCTGCTCTATTTCTCTCACCTTTAATCCCGGTTTTTAAGAACCCAGCTGATGTAAATGTACATAATGGAAGCCAATTTACCTTTTTCTTGACAGCTCCTCTATCAGCATTTTGTCAAATGATTGGTCTCATTCCTAATGAGGCTGATACAGTAAGTATATACAATCTTTAAACTTCCTCAAAACAATTTTAACTTTGGTTGGTCTAATTTGACATGTTAACTGTAGGATGTCTACAATGAAGCTGAGAACATAATCGCCGATGCTTTCTCTGAGTGGGAAGTAATTCTTTGCTCATCAACTATCATGGATTTAGTATGGGCACAAGTTATAAACGACCCGTTTTTAAGGCGACTTATTTTAAGGTATTTGTTCTCTAGTTTTTACATGAGTTAGTCAATGTATTCATTTATTTTGATTGGTGATTGTCTGTAGAATGTCACAGGTGCAGTTGACTGCCGTTTAGACTTCTTAGGGCACTATTAAAGTTCAAGTTACTGAATAGACCTGTTATGTTGCATTATTTGTCTACAGATTCATATTCTGCCGATCCGTGATATCTTTTTTCTGCCCACCTGAAGAAAGTGAACTACATCTGCCGCTTTGCCTACCCCATCTACCTACTTCTGTTGCACCAAAGTCTGAAGCAGTGCGTTCTGTTGTCGTGCAACTTGCCAAGCTCTTTGACGTTACTGACTCCTTTCATTTCATTGATACCTAATATTTGGACTTTAATTGCAGCAAGTAAATTATTAGATTTAAATGCAGACTTTCAAAGCTAAAGATTCTTTGACCCAAGGAATATAAGAGGTATGGTTAACCTTTTGGGTGACATGACAAGAATATCAATGGTGGGGCTGGGCTGTCATGTGGAAGATGGGATTGTTGGTGATGACTGATGGTTGCATCTGCTTGTGTGCTCTACTTAATTCTCGACCCCACTTTGTTCATCGATCCATATATGCTGTATTTGGCGGTTTGCTCTCTAGTGTTGAAGGTTAGGTCGTGATTGGTGCCTTACTTTTGTTGTGTAGCCTGGAAAGATAATTGTTAGTTGAAAATTAGTTGCATTTGTTCATATTTCATAGTTTTTTTTTTTGGTGATTTATATTTCATAGCTTTGGAAAAGAACAAAACGGAAGTTGTTCATACTTCATACTTTTTTTTTAGCAGAACGGTTTTTGATCATTGATTGGGGAGGATGTATTATTGGAAGAACGAATGCCGTCAATATTAGAAAGAAAGTAAAGTCACTATTGTGTGAGATGAAGGGTTATTATTATTATTATTATCTATTTTTTCTTTTTTTGTTTGTTTTTTGTTTTGATTGTTTTTGATAGAATAGTGAGAGCGAATTCCATTTACTATTTTTCTTTGAAGTCTCTTAAATTTACCCTTTCTAGATAATGGATGAATATTTTTTTTAGTACAAAGAAAAATCTACTCAGAGACTCTTACAAACTTAAGGAATGAGACTCTAATATTATCATCAATTAGAATTATAGGGTTAAATGTGTTTCTATTCTATATAAATATGCTAATTTTTATGTGTAGTCTTTCTATTTTTTTTTCCAATGATATTTGCACAAAGTTTTTCGTCCTTAAATGTGGTCACTTTCTTTAGTTTCTACTAACGGAGGCTTATGTGGCATGTTAAGTGTAAAATTTGTTTTAGTTACGTGTGATATGTAATATACTAAATTGTCAATGTGAAATTGTTGATAATATTATGTTCATAATTGAGATAATAAAACACAACACAAACATTTCACATGAGTGTGTCTTAGCAGAAGAAGTTATCGTTGTTGCTAAGGAGGTGCGCTGTGGTCAAGGAACAAGAATCAAGTTCTCGCTGTGTTCAAAGAAGAAATCTTTGTTTGCAGTGGTTTCAAAGCAAAATTTCGTAAGCATCCTCGTTGTAGTGGTCTCAAAAACAACTTCATAAGTAGCTGAAGCGGTCCTAGGTAGTATACTTAGTCTCTTCTTTGTTCCCTCATTTTTATTATATGTCATCTTCGTTGCTTTTTCAGTGGTCCCATTTATTTAATATGTTGCATCTTATTACCATTCGTATAAAAGGTTATATTTTGGTAAATCTGTTTGACCTAATTTTGGTGTCAATTTTAGAAAAAATTAGGGTAAATCAGTTTAACAGAATTATGGTAAATTTTAAACTTAGGTTAAATTTTGTGAACAGGAAAATGGATAACTTTAAGGTTGTACTTTACCCAAAAGGTTGTTTTGTAAAAGACACTAACATAAGATATGAGGGAGAGGAAGTATATGCTTTTAGTGGTCAAGATCTGATTACTGGTTGTCGCAGTGAAGAATCGGAGACTAAACTATTGACTAGCTTGACATGCAAAAATAAGATGTTACCACCGAACTTTTATTTTTTTAAGGGAAGGGAGAAAAGATCGAATAAATCCATAGTAAACATGCAAAGCAAAAAGCAAGGCTAAGAGTAAAGTAATAAAGAGATCAAAGATACGAGAGTTGGTTATACAAAAGGAAAGTACTAGCATCCTAAGCATTTATAGTACTTTACATGAAACTCTTGAAATATTTGTGTTTTTGCTAAAATTGTTTGTTAAAGGGTAAAAGATGGGTAAGGCAAAGCAACAAACATACAATGGACATGTGTCATACCCCAAATTTGTCATACTTTTGTAAGCTTTCTCTTTGTAAGATGCTCTGGTCTTTGAGCATAATCTTCTGAGAATTTAGGTCATAGGATCTTGTGCGCGTATTCACCATGTCTAATCAATTTGCGCAGATGCATTGATTTCAAATATGAACAGTATTTATTCTCACAGCCAAGTGCTTCAAGATGTGACCAATGGATTCTGATTTAAGATACCCTAATTTTGTCCGGACCGTTTAACTTTTCATTTATCTGACTTTATTTTTACTTTGGATAGCATAACATGCATTTCATCTCGTATAGTGCTTAAAATGTCACACAAAATAATTTCTCGGATTTACAGACAGACTGATCAAAATAAATTTCAACGAAGCGTAAAATCAGTGGACGAAAAATTTTAAAATTGTGCTTGCAGACGTCAATTATATTAATCTACGTTTCACGTAGTTTAACCTGACGTGTTCGAATTAATTTTTCTGACTATTTTTCGTTGCATTTTGATCAGTTTGAGCATTTTAATGGGTCAAAATTTATTTTAAAATCTGACCGAACGCTGCATTTTTTCGAGTCGTTTATTTCGCGTTGATCATTTTGGTGTACTCGATTTATTTTTTTGAACATTTGGGCGCTCGATTTTTATTTATTTGAGGTCCATTTATGTTTACATTTGTGTCTAAATATTTAGAATAAATAAATAGGATAATTAGTGTTTTAATTTTAATTTTATTTTAAATGTCTATTTTATTTTAAATATTTATTTTATTTTAAGGTTTAAAATTGAGTATTATGAACATTATTGACAATTTAGAGTTAACCCTAATTTGGTATATATATATATATATATATATATATATATATATATATATATATATATATATATATATATATATATATATATATATATATATATATATATATATATATATATATATATATATATATATATATATATATATATATATATATATATATATATATATATATATATATATATATATATATATATATATATATATATATATATATATATATATATATATATATATATGAAGACCGGAAAAACCTATGAGGAAGGCCGCCTACGGTTATTTTTTCTTCATCTGTTATCGATAATATGTTGCTTCAATGTTAATAATATATTGTTGTTGTACCTTTTTCTCTACTGCTTCTGATTTAATTACCAGTACATATTATGTTAATGTATTGTGCCCATGAATTTATTTGAATGCCTCACTATTTTAGTTGGTTGCTAATATATATAATTTATATATTGTTAGAGTTATATATATATATATATATATATATATATATATATATATATATATATATATATATATATATATATATATATATATATATATATATATATATATATATATATATATATATATATATATATATATATATATATATATATATATTAGATTTTTTTATCGAATCGTGTCGATACGCTGTTTGTATATTTGTGTGCACGATGCATGACATTTGTTTTTAGCTCGATTCGCTTGCGATGACCGCATTTTTGAGTTAGTAATATTGTTGGTTTTTTTTAGCATTTAAAAATTCTTTTTACTTTATTTTTCTTTTTGATAAATTTAGATCCACATAATTTTGATCCCTATTGCGATGATCATGTTGAGTGTAGTAAACTATTGGTCGATCTTATTGGTTTACGTAAGGTTCTATGATTGAGTATTGTTGTATTTCGATTTTACACGCGTCAAACGGTTTAGCATGGTGGGAATTCACTTTTTGCGCTTACCGATTCGCATCTCGATTTACAATCTGTGATTTTTTATTACTTTGTTGTTTCTCTATTCGATTTGCAATGACCGCTAATGCAGTAGCAATTTGCTATTTCAATTCGTATTATTTTTAAATGATTCAACGTCGCTATCGTTATTATCGAATCTAATTTCTTGTAATAGTTTTTGCACGTCTTCGCTTACGCGACTTTGATTTGTGTATTTGCATCATGATTTGTGTATATGCAATGATATGACGACTCAAACTGTGGTTTCGAGGTAGGTCAGGTACAACTGACGTTGAAAAACGTCTTGTTTGGATACAAGATTTCTGGTTGAAAGGTTAGGGAATGGTTAACATGACTTCCCGACATTCGTCCTGAACTCGAAGGTTGACAAAACCTGCTTGAGTAGCTCTTAAAATATGGAGAGGTGACTCTGATTAACCGTCTTCTAGAGAGGATAACTCTTCGCGCTCTTGCAGCGTCCTGTTCCAGCCTTGAAGTGACTTTTTCCCTAATTGGCTAATTTGTGAAGGAGTGCCTATGACTAACTGACCGTCGAGAGATTTATCAGATCCTAACCTGATTGCCCCAGATTAACCGATCCTTAGAGATTTCTCGAACTAACTTCCCTAGATTGACATCTTCTAACAGAGTTTCTTGGCCACATGCTCCTCAACTTATCTGTCCAGAAATTTCCTCCTGGCAAGATAAAACTTGTTGACTGACATTCATTATGTAAACCTCATTGGTGACAAATATCTATATGCAAACAGATAATGTTTATTTTAAGAATGATAATTCTAATACAACGCACATGCTAGTCTTGAAGATATCGTCGAAAAGATATTGCCAAACTTTGTGAACAAGTCACTAGTTAAAATGTGACACTGTTTTTTTAAATGAAATACATCATGCACATGCAATACCAACAAAGTCTTTTAGCATAACTCCTAGGAGTTAGGAATGCTATCTTGTTGAAGTACGCTTTCAAAATAAACTATGTTTTAATTAGGACTTTTGAGGGTTGTAATGTGGCATGGTTCACGGTTTTATTAAAAAAAGAATTTTTGGCTCAAAATTTATTTGTACCCACCATTCTCCTTGATATTCTCCAGTCATATATTCAGCTAACTTGGCACAAGCGCTCACCTTTCAAAAAGGTTATTGAATGGTAGAAGTGACGGTTAATGAACCCATAAGATTTTTGGAGCGACAGTCACCCCTTTTGTCTTTGGTGTCTGCAGTCGCACGACTTTGTTCTTTATCGAGGATTTTTCTTTTGTCCTCCTTTTCATTTTCCTTTTTCCCCTGATCTTGCCTGGACTGA